GCAGCCAGGGGCGCCTATTGGTAATTCCCCTTATGCATGGTGGGAGGCTGTTGAACAGTCTTGGACCCTGGACGCTTATGGTGCTCTCTTATAGTGTACCAATGGCGCCCCTACTTTTCATTGGAGGTATTTTGCACCGCCTGCCCAGTCTTTTACTTTCGTAGGGAGTGATTTATGTGTGCATATTCGGGACCATTCCTTCTAGGAATTTCCAAGTGTAGATTATGATATATCTCTCGCCTGCGTTCCAGCGAGTACAAGTCAAGTGCTTCCAAGCGTTCCCGGTAGTTGAGGTGTTTGTTAGAACTTATGTGCAGTAAAGGTTCTCTGTACACTCTCTAGATCTGCAATTTCACCTGCTTTGAACGTTTCCACCCTCTACACAAGAGTGGTGTGACGAGCCATGGTTGACTTCATGGAAAAAATACAGCCGATGAAATGACGTGATACGTTATAATAACAATATTGGTGAAGAGTAATGGCCAGAAGAATAAAAGAGGGGGAAGAGTGTAGCAAAGAACAAACGATTTCAAGACAATGACTGAGGTAGTAATTGTGATGGTTAGTGAAAAAGGTATTCGAAAGTACAGGGCGGTAGACGACGGAAAAAGCCGACAAGTGGGAATAAAAACACTGGTAGCAGAGAATCCTTTTCAATATTACGATTCGCCTAAGGCTGGACTTTATGAAGCACACAGGGATGAGCAAATACATAGCTTTATAAGGCGGTGTATTTGCTGCGAGTCTTTACTCCCAAGAGTACGCTAGATAGAAGTGGTGGTAGTTGTAACAGCAGTGGTTGTCGCTTTGTAGTGGCTGTCGTTCCCGTAGTGGTGGTGATAATGCTGGTAGTAGTGGCAGAGATGCTGATAGTAGTAGTAGTAGTGGTGGTGACGGTGGAGAACCCAGGAGTGAATTAGCATTAGCGTGGGCAAGGAGTCGGACTTTAAATAGGTAGCCACTGCAGTATTGTTGCTGAAATCTATTGGAACACAGCCCTGAATCACTCCAGCCAAACTGTTTTCCTGCATATGTTACTGCCCTTTCACGCTCCCACAACGGAACCCCCGTGGCTTTTTTACACACTTTTGCGAGCATCCCTAAGAAACCCTCACACAAGGGCTGAAGTTGAATGCTACCGGCTGAGGGTTGCGTTCCTCGGGAACCACGGCTAATCAATCTAATCGAGGAAGTGGAGAAATTTGAAATTTATCGTCTCTGAATATTTCACGAGCGAAGGAAGAATAGAGGAGGGAAGGGAAGGAAGCTTTTTTCTTACACATTTTTCCTCTCTTTTTAATTATTTTTTTTAACTTGTTAATGGAAATGAGTCGTATTAAACTGGGCCGCCATTCGAGGATTTTTTTTTATATCGCTCGTTTAGGCTGCCTGAATCATTTTTACCTGATTGGAAACGTCTCACGACTGGTCGCTAGTGATCTTTTCCTGGAGGAGCGACTGGCTGAATGTACCCTACAGATGTATAGATATGTAAAGTCAGTACCCGATCAGCCGGGCGGTAGTTCGCACGTTGAAATACGTGCGACCAGCAGTAACAACCTGGTTGATCAAGCTGTATAGATATGTAAAGTCAGTACCCGATCGGCCGGGCGGTGGTTCGTACGTTGGAATACGTGCCGCCAGCAGTAACAGCCTGGTTGATCAGGCTCTGATCCACCGCTAGGCCTGGTCAAGACCTGGGCCGCGGGAGCATTGACCCCCGGAACACCCTCCCGGTAGGTAGTAGGTAGGCTCTGTGTAGTTATTATTATTATTATCAGTTATAGTTAATAAAATAACTCAGGTACAAGTCCCAATATTGACGCCCCAGGATCGGTAAGCTTCCTTCACAGGACAAAATTATCCTGAACCAGATCTCCCCGCACTTGACTAGCCGGTAGCACCCTTCAGGGAGTGTACTTTATTACTGATAAACGGCTTTTGATTCAAGGAGCTGGAACTATCCTTTGCTTTCCTCCGACCAAACCTGATCATCTTCCTTAGTTCTGTAGCGTGGATGTGCTGGCGTGACCACCCCCTTTTACCCGCTGCTCTAAGTCGATTCATCAAGCTTTCCTGTATTTTAACACTTCATTTGGCCAGGAGTCTTCCAATCTCTCTAACAGGGCGTGTAGGGGACGCCACAGCTGTGAGGGATATATCACCTCCGGCGCCTGGAGGATAGGGGGAAAGGGTATGTAGGTGACGGAGAAATAGGAAAAAGGGGAAAGAAAAGCGGGAAGTGAGCGAAGAACAGCTGTGAGGAGGATATAAAAGGGCATGATTATTTAATTGTTTATTAATTTGCTTGCTTACTCTCTCTCTCTCTCTCTCTCATATATATATATATATATATATATATATATATATATATATATATATATATATATATATATATATATATATATTATATTATATATATGTGTGTGTGTGTATGTATGTATGTATGTATGTATGTGTGTGTGTGTGTGTATGTATGTATGTGTGTGTGTGTGTAAAACAACCACAGGGGAAGTAGAATGATAGCTCTAGGCCTTTCGTGTTGCACTCAACACATCAACAGGAGCTTGCACTTAGTGCCTCCTGCCTCCCTGCCGCATTCAAGCAAAAACGTTCCCAAACTAAATCTGCTTGGACTTCCTACTACTCATTTCTGCAACAGTGCAAGCTCCTGAAGTTTTGATTGCAACACGACAGGCCTACAGCTATCATTTACCCCCCCCCCTCCTGTGGTTGTTTTCAATATATATATGTGAGGGGGAGTATGGTGCCTAGAATTGGAAAGTGAATTGCGTATGTTGTGGTTCAGTGAGTGCGAGTGATGGTAAATGTTTTCTTCTTTGGCCTCATCTGCTTTGATGGTTGGGGACGTGATCGCCCTCCCCACCTAAAAGGGATAAGCCTAACGTAGGCCTGCCTGGCCATAAATATCCCATCGTCCTGCTGTCGGCACTCTTGATAAATTTGTGCAGGAAGTGCGGCGCGTGTATGCATTTCTCTAAATCGGTTTCTAGGGGCCAGGCCTATTTCTTTTCTTATGAAGTGGCCTTCAGGGATGAGGGGAGTGTGAAATTGGGCGAGTAAGTAGTGGGAAGAATAAATTGAGTGCTGGAACACTTTTACCCAGGAGTGTGGCCTGCTGCAACTTATCCTCATTTTGCTTCGATGTTTTTCCTCGCGATTTAGAACGTCGATTTCAGAATGTTCCATGTTTGCAGTAGATGAAACATAGATTGTAAATTTGTATCCAGATATATTCCTGTTAGCCCTTTTGTGGTCTGTTCCTAGTCTTTTTGTGTATACATATGATAGTCTACCGCCCACGGGGTGGGTATGGGAAGCACAATAAACTAGCCGCTTCGAAAGCAAAGTCTTAAATCTAAATCCAGTAAACTATCAAATACTCTTTCTATAAATTTATATAAACATTAAAAACGCATATTTAACCACAATCTGAACTCATATTTAACCACAATCTGAACGTATATTTAACCACAATCTAAAAGTACCGAAAAACCTCTGGCATTGTGGTGGCCGAACAGTCTCAGGAAACGTTAAAAATGCACAAGTATTTCTCATGGTGGGAGAATAGGTTGCCTGCTGACACGACCTTGTCTTCAGTAAACAAACTTTCAGAACTTATTTACGTTTTGTTTTAAGAAGGTACAGAGTACACGCTACGGGACGCCTCTCACGATATGTGAAGACTTCTGAGATTAATGGCGTTCTCCTAAGAAATACTTACACACCTTCCTAAGGTGTTCATGTTTGTACTTATATTGGTTAAATAAAAATATATATTAAGATGAATTTTTATTTTATGCTGTGAGTTCTGTCATCTGAAACATCAGCCAAAGAACCTTGATGGAAGGTAATATAGTGTAATCTCAGTATTAAGCATTAGAATATCATTCGGAAAGAGTTAAATCACGAATTTGAATGTCAGAAGAATGCATCTGGAAGCTTGAGTAGATCTATGATCCACTATGATGGCATAAACGTAGATAAGCACATTGACAAATCAACTGTTGTTGTAGCAAGGCTTATCAGTGACTTGCGAAATCGCAATAACACGATTGTAAACAATTCACGGAGCATTCCGTGGGTTGTTTACAGTTGCGCTGTTACGATTCAGCGAGTCATTAACAACAATTGTGAAGGGACTTGAGCTAGAGCTCACCACAGCAATGTTGGTGTGAGAATCGTCTGTGAAAACCTACATTTTGGTGAGAGTGGAGCCTATGCTTACCTTCTTAGGGCATGGAATTACACCTTTTGCACGAATCTTATTGGGTCGGCCTGATACATTGGTTAGCGCACTGCTTGTTTTAGGACTTGCTCGTAATGAGATCGAATCCCACCCGTTCAGTGAGCCAGGCTTTAGACTAGATTTCAGGTACATCTGGCAGAGTATATAGTTTAGAAAACAGACAAGTCAATGAATGAAATATTTTTGCAACACCGGCAAGTTGACGTGTTCACACAGTGATTGAATTACGTATTAAATATGCTGTTAGTCTTGGAGAAAGTTTCTTGAACACTGTGTGCTTCACTATCTATTTATTGAATAATATAGACATCGCACGTAACCTTTATGATATATCAGAGTAGTATTAACGAGAATTAAATGAGAGAAATTCTTATCACAAATCTTAAATTTGATTGAAATAAACAAGACACTGTTAAATAATATGTACACATGTACTGCTAACACATTTTAAGGGTAAATTTAATAGTTCTTTATGTATCCATATACTCTTGCACAACCCACCAGGATAATTGCCTGTAAAGTACTCAGTGTATGTCCTCGTGGATGAATGTGGGATGCTCTGCACACTAGACGCTCATCCACAAGATAGAAATAGGGTGCACAATGTAGCCGCTACCGGATCATATGATAGATGTGGGTAGTGTGTTAAACTAGCTGCTTCGTTGGAAAATATGAAAAAAGAGGAACATATCACTGCATTTTATATATTTTTTTTATTTCCACCCAACAGGTTCAGCTGACGATCCGGACGCTGCCGGAGCTGCCAGCAGGAGCCAAGTATCAGTGTGTGTGGGGGTCTGCACCCCCTGCCGACGCCCTGGTGACGGCCTTAGGGCTTACCTGTATGACGCCCGCACGCCCACACCGCCCAGCCATCCCCATCCACCACGACCACGTGCTGGTGCCGCTTGCCGTGCGCTCTAGCGAGACCAACAAGGACTTCGTCTCCCGCAACTTTGCCTTCTACGACTGCGGCCGTCACAACACCTGCGGTAGCTGCGTGCGGAGTAACTGGGCGTGTAACTGGTGCGTCTACGAGAACACCTGCACGCACAACGCCTCCTCCTGCAGCGGCAACGTCGTGTCTGGGGAAAACGTAAGCATCCTGCAGCTGCTAAGAGAGGTGTGTGGGCCGGGTGATGTGCATGGCTTGGGCGCTCTCTTGCCAGTCTTCCTTCATTCACCACGTTAATACCTTGCCTGTGCGGCGCCGGAGGAACCATTCCATCTTCTTGATTGATTGGTTTAACGGAGCCGACGTTGCACCAGCAAGATCTTTGACGACCAGCACTCTCGTTGAACTTGATACTTATTCTCTCTGCGATTGTCTAATTGTTCAGCCATGCGTCAGCACTAAGAACCACTAACTACACTGCTAGTGACCACACCTAACTGCACTGCTAGTAACCACACCTAACTAAACTGCTAGTGACCACGCCTACTAACAGCACTGCTGGTGACCACACATACTAACTGCACTGCTGGTGACCACACCTACTAACTACACTCCTGGTGACCACACCTTCTAACTACACAACTAGTGACCACATCCACTACACTACTTTTAACAAGAATAAACTGCACTGTTCTTACTCAGACATTACGCAGGCATTGGCTCCTTTATGTGCATTAATAAAAAATTCAGTGATGCGCCTTGGCTTTCATACAAAGTCTTCAGAACACATCGCTTATTCTGTTTTTCAGCTTATTCTGGCAAGCTTAATTAAGATGCTTAACAAACAAAACTGTAATGTACAACTCATGTAGACAGCAAGGGTGCTACAGCAGTGCTCGGTGCCAGGTGTGTGTGTGTGTGTGTGTGTGTGTATGTATGTGTGTATGTGTGTGTGTATGTATGTGTGTATGTGTGTGTGTACTCACCTATTTGTGGTTGCAGGGGTCGATTCATAGCTCCTGGCCCCGCCTCTTCACTGATTGCTACTAGGTCCTCTCTCTCCCTGCTCCATGAGCTTTATCAAACCTCGCCTTAAAACTATGTATGGTTCCTGCCTCCACTACATCACTTTCTAGGTTATTCCACTTCCTGACAACTCTGTGACTGAAGAAATACTTCCTAACATTCCTGTGTGTGTGTGTGTGTCTTTATTTTATAAAACATACAGTAGTATATTCACCGGGGTGCTATACCTATGTGGGTCATTCCGGGCTTGTATAAAACACCACCATTTATATTCCCCTGGAGCGTGCTAAACTCTGTCAGTCACACCCCTGATAACACATTGAATTTGAAAAGTATTATTATATTATTACTCTTTATTATTATCAAATTAAATGCTAAACCCGTAAGGTTTTAGCATTTAATTTGATAATTTAATTTGATAATAATAATATGGGAAGTACAGTGCCTGCACTTTAAAGGAGGGGTTCGGGATATTGGCAGTTTGGAGGGGTATGTTGTGTATCTTTATACGTATATGCTTCTAAACTGTTGTGTTCTGAGCACCTCTGCAAAAACAGTGATTATGTGTGAGTAAGGTGAAAATGTTGAATGATGAAAGTATTTTCTTTTGGGGGATTTTCTTTCTTTTTGGGTCACCCTGCCTCGGTGGGAGACGGCCAGCTTGTTAAAAAAAATATATATATAATTTAACAACGCTGTAGTGTCATGTGAAACAGTGCCAGGACCTGCGTGGCGGTGATAGCAACAGCCTGGCTGACCAGCCATTCAATGAAATTCTGACATCAGGCCGAGCTTGAAAAGTAAAACTCTTGAAGCCGGTTACGGGTAAGGTTCTTAACGCTACCCTTCCTTCGACCTTTGATGGGTTTCAAGAGTTATCTTCCTCCCGCGACTCTGCCCTGGACCAGGCTTGTCTGGTGTTTACCTGGTCAACCAGGCTGTTGCTGCTGGTGGCTCGCTCGTCCACATACATAGCTCTAAAATCAGGAATGAGAGCAACACCATGTTTCCAAGTTTTTACTTTGGCTTGTGTAAGATATGTGTGACTTGTTTCACCCACGACATTATAACTTTTACTCATTATTTTTTAAACCTGTAGGGCAGTTGATATAAGAAATTGGATCTTACCTCCTTTTCTTTTGAGCGAATTGCTTCATATTAACCGGGTGCTCTATGACTCTTGCGGGTTTAGAATTTCTCATGGACTACTCATCACTTCTTTTATTTATTAAAGGCTTTGACAGAATTCTTTCCCTTCAGAACCCAGCGCAACTGGCTTCACACGGGTCTGGGTTCTGCCCGAGGTTCTGGACGGAACAGTCGCAGCTGCTGGCTGCTGACGGTGCTCGCTCAGAGCTGCAGCTGCTGGTGGAGAACCTGCCGGTGCCACGGGTGGGTCAGCTGGGCTTCCAGTGTGTGGTGAGCATCGAGGGTGCCACCATGCTGGTGGGTGCCAGGGTAATGGGCGCTTCAGAGGATAATGATGAATCCCTCACCGCTACAGCTACGACCGTCAGCCAGCAGCAGCCACACCGGCGGGTGCAGCGGGTGCTGTGCGAACCCACGGTATACCGCTACGAGTCCGCCGAAGGAGAGTATGAGGCTCGGGTCACACTAGTGTGGAACCGCGACCATGTTGTGGATGCACGCCTTCTCACTCTGTACAAGTGTGGTGTGTTGGGCGCGCACCGCGGCCACCACGACTGTTCCCTGTGTGTGACGCGACACCCGCGGTACCGATGTACCTGGTGCGGCGCTGCCTGTAGATACGCTCCTCACTGTCCCACCGTCCCCGGCGTCGCTGCGGCGTCTGCGGCAGCAGCGGTGCCGCCACCCACCGGAAGAGACCTCCTGGACATCGTAGCCAATGACGCCCGCCTCAGTCAGTGTCCCACGCCAAGGATCGATGTGGTGAGTAGTGATGTTTTGTCTGTAGCAGGAGTCCTTCACCAACTGTTGTATAGGGAAAATTCACTCGATTTTATGATTATTAATGTGAAGTGTCAAACACGTATGCAGAGAGTGCTGGAGGTTCGATCCTTATTCCTCTCCTGAACCTGCCTAACAAAAATAATCCTTTAACTTATAAACTCTTTATGGCATACGGGAAGAATGGTCACGTGGTCACATGGAAGATCAAACCTGCGCCATTCCTTGTGCTGAATCGCCTATACGGGCTAAGTGCTTCACATGGCTGAATAATAAAAAAATCAGTTATGTTGCCTGCAGTCTATCATCTGGCTGACCATAATAATGCTATGGTGATAGGAAAGCAAACTTGAGGGCCTACTCAAAAAAATGTGTAGTGACGCTTGTAAATTAGTGATCTTATTGTTATTTTGAGAGTGGTGTGAGAAGATAGAATGGCATGAAGTGAAGAGCGCCTTGACTAGTGTTAGTGGTTTGTGTATGTGAAACGCTATGCTCGTGTAGGTCGTTTCATCTAAAACTAGTGACTCTTACTCGTTTTCGCTAAAGATCCGCACGGGTTAAATCTGTATAGAAGTTCGATCCTCTGCTAAGCCCAGAGAAGTCACGATACCTGACTGTAGTCAAGTAGGTGGGCTAGACTAGAGTAACATGTGGAAAGCGTCTTCGCGGACCGCGAGAGTATCGACCACGGATGCTAATATAGACAGCCTTGCACACTTCTCTTAATTGCTCCGGAACTGCAAATGCCTCGGTATCCAGTGAACCGTCTGCTGTTCCATCCTCAAGCTAGCAAATCGTCGGGTACTGGATAACTCAGTCCTGCTGATTGAAGCGCACCGAGGCAGAACTTACGCCTCCGTCTGGCCAAGAACGCCCAGGTCCTCTGTATAATCCTGCACTTATCTCTTCTCCCACTCTCACTCTCTCTCGCTCTCCCTTTCTCTCTCTCGCTCTCCCTGTCTCTCTCTGTAGTGATCAACATGTCTTTCTTCAGCCTGTGGAATCAAGTACGTGTTCTTATATTTCATACCCCCTCCTTTTTTCTTCTCCCCCCTTTTCCCCTGCCCCCTCTCCACTTATTGTTTCCATTTCTCTGACTATTTTAATTATACGTACATCGTGTCCCTCATTCTTCCATCAGCTTACCTCCCCAACTCCCGTTTTCGCCCTTCTTTCATTCCACCTTGTGTTCCCTTTACTATCCCTTCCCCTCTGTGAACGTTTAGCGTCGTTCTGAGGGAATTCTATCATCACATTGCTATCCCAGATGAGTTTTAAATGACTTGGCAAACTATAACGGGGGCGACGTGACATAGAAACTAGTAGAAAGGAATTCTTCCCAAAATGAGTCCAGGAAAAAGGTTTCAGTCTTCATTTAGTAGGCTCAAGGACTAGGGTGGGTGTACGTGTGTTTGCCTGCGTGTGTGCTTCTGCTTGCCTGTATGTGTGTACTCACCGTATTGTTTTTGAGGGGACGTATCCTCAGTTCCTGACTCTGTCTCTCTATCTGGCTCGACAGACATTCACAGTGTTCTCTCCTCTTGGGTTCTGCCGTACCTATTCTTTTTTGCTGTGGATGAAGTTTGCCATTACCACTTGGTCATCCAGTTCAATTAATTTCTCGACTACCCTGAAATTGAAGAAATACTTCTCAGTATCCATGCTGCTCGCCTGTGATTTAGTTTTTACTTTTGTCTTTGACCCTGGTTACTGCCTCTCTCTTTCTCTCACTCTCTTCCTCTTGCCCTTTCTGTGCCTTATTATTTTTACATTCACGGGAAGCGCTAAACCTTTAGAAAATAAGATTCAGTCAAATTTAAGCTCAGGAAGGGTAGATATATTTTTTCCAGGAAGACAGAATATACAATATGAGCAACTTTTAGCTGTTTGGCATGGCAGGTTATCTGCCTACAGTCACCCAAAATACCCTCAACTCACGACATAGAGGTAGCTAATCTTCCTTTCCGTACTCTAGCATGTTTACCGTAGCATGTGCACGCGCTGGAGACTGTGTACCCGCTTGTGTCAGCAGTGAATGAGTGAGAGCGCGTGCGTGCCGGATTGCTAACTTGCGTGTTCCTCTGTTGAAGTTGGTTTTGTAAGCGTGATTACTATCTTGAGTTTATCCTCATTTCAGTTTTTTAGAATGAAAATGTGTATCATGTATAATATTGCGGTCTGCTAACATATATTTGAGTTTTTAACCTCATAATATAATTAGGTGTTGGTTGTGGTAAATGGGATATTAAATTAGTCATGTTTCTGGCTTTAAACAAGAACAAAAACACTGGACACACGTATGTAGAATAAGCCTTTTCTTGGATTATGTTACGCTCTAAGTAAAGCTATTGCACGTTATTTATTTAGAGTGAAATTTTGTTTACATGTGTTGATGTTACGCCCTCTAACGCGCAACACCGCTGTTTTTATTATGCTTGTCTAGGTTAATACCTGGGCAATATTATCATGCATAGAGATCTTGACTGGTGGTGTATAGGTTACATGCATCGTTAATTATCCCTGTCCTGCAGACCATTTATTACACTTATAATAACTATTGTTTGCCAAAGCGTGAATAGGCAGTCAATAGAAGCGCCTGTGTCTAGCTGACTGACTGATGTATTTTTCTAGTTGTGTATCCTCACACCACATTACTGTGTGATAAGTGTGTCTGTACTCTGGACAGTATGTGCTTGATTGTCCACTTACTAAGGAATATATAGAGAGAGTAGTGTAATAACCTTTGTAATATGTCAAGGTACTTATTAATGAAAAGATACCGGATAGTTTAAACAAGCATTCTAGACTTAGTTCTAACAGTTGAAATATAAATTGTAAATTTGTAAACAGATGTCCTCCTGCTAACCCTTTATTGGAAGCCTCGCTCTTAGACCTTTTTTTTTTTATATTTTATTTAAAACTCAGGTACAAAAATATATGGGTACATAATCAATATGTAACAAGATACAGGCAGTGAACAATAATCAACTGTGACTACACAATACTGAAGAAGCACATATATAATGACAGAACTGGCTGCTGCACTCAAATCAAACACCGCTTGTACGTACTGTGCTTCACATGAAAAGGTGGTCATATAAAAAAACGATAGAATCTACCCAGTAATGCTTACACTCCCCCCCATGAAAACGTGCCACTTTCACCTTAGATACACAGTGACAGATCTCTTATGCTTATACATTTGTAAAAGCATTAAAAACTTCAATGACAAAATATATAAACACAATCCAGCCAGCTAAACGGCTGACACTATAATACAATGATCTCTTAGACCTTTTGTGTATCCATATGCTCTTGTGCTACGTTGGATGGCTAAGAGGTGTACACATCAGTAGTCGCTGCCGCGGTAAAATCAGTGTACCCGTGAGTGCTATTTAAAAGATAGTTGAAAGTTACTTGTCTAGTTTACAAGTAGCGGACTCTGATTTGCTTTCAAAAAGGAAAACATTCTAAATGCTCTTGACTATTTTTTATACTGGTATTCTCAAATGGGAGAATAATATAAAGACCATTCAACAGCGGCGCTTGTGGTAGACTCTTGCCTTGATGAGGCACATCGTAGGCTCTGGTTACCCCCCCCCCCCTTGTATATGGTCTTGTCAAGTGTACAAGTTTATGAATATTCCGGCAAGTTGTAAATATGAACAAGATGGTGCGTCTTAAGGGCTGGGCAGGCGAGGCGTCCCCAGCAGCGCAACGACCCCATAAAAACTATGAAGTTTCAAGTTTTCAAATCTGTCGAGCTCTTCTCCGGCTTCTCCCTTCCCCTACTTGCCCATTACTTAATTGAAGTTTGATACGGAGGCGAGAACAGATGCGAATATCTCTCAGCAATGGCTGTATGTTGGGGGGGGGGGTTGCGTGCGTGTGTACATGTCGTGCCGAATAGGTAAAGCTTGCGAATTTGGCTTAAATAGCAGCGCTCTTGTTGCCGGATAAGGCAAGCGAAAATTTGAGTATGTAATAATTTCACAAAAATCATTCTGAACCTAACGAAAAAAATATATTTCATTGTGTTTGTTTATTATTAAATTATTGTAAGGTTATATAAAATATATTTAGTTGGCTAAATTAAATTGAGCTTGTTATGAGGTTAGGTAAGTTTTCTAAGTTTTTTTTTGGTACAAAATTATTGATTTTTACATTAACATAGATGAAAAAACTATATCTTTAAACGTATAAGAATTTTTTTTAGAAAGACTTAATTTTAAATGAGTTCTTGCTAATTGACCAGTTTTACCTATTCGGCACGACATGCATATTTGAGATAATCTATTTCTTGCACTCTGCTTGTAACTACAATGTTTAATCTATCGATATTGTTTATTTGTATATGTTTTTGTTTGCCTGTATGTACGGAGCTTTGTATATACTTGTGTGAGTTAAGAGTATTGCTCGACTGTTTCCACATTCACAGTAAGAAGCAGCAAACATCGTTCCTACTTTACAATCAGGAGTCAACATTCATCGTGGAAACTTTGTATTGCGGATTCATCTGGCGTAGTTCGTCCTATTACGAACTCATCTCGCGTAATATATCCTACTGCGGACTTAAATGGAGTAGTGGGTCCTGTGGACTCATTTAGTTCAGCCTCTTGTGGAGCCCAGGCACACGGTCGAAGTGGACTCGTCACTCCAGACTTCTTACAAGCCACAGTTGGGGATCAGATGAGTCTGCTCCAGCGAACACTGTCGGGATTGTGTAATTAACCAGCTTAGGACTTTTCCCCGAACCTGGTTAATCACGTTAGTAGTTGGCTGTAAGCACCAGCATCTCTGTTCTCATCTAGCCATGGCCCCGCCTCTCAACTCTTATCGACTTGTTTCTCTGATCTGTGGCATTCAGGAAGCGAGTATATCAACTCTGGGTACTGGTATATATTTTAAACAGATGCACTCTATAAGGAGAATGGGGAGAGGGAATAGAGCTCAACCCGTCCTCCAAACAGCAGTATTTC